GGGTTTAGGGTTTAGGGTTCCCTTGCACCGGCCAACCCCTCAGACCCCTCGACTCCGCAGACCCTTCAGATCCCCAACACCGGCAAAGCCTGCAGGCTTAATATAGGGGCCTTATAGGGGCCTTAATAGTTAGAATAGGGTTTCGGTGTCCATTATACTATAACTATCGTAAGGAACCCCTACCACAAAAAGAGCACTGGTAACTACTTAGGCCCTTATATTACAACTTAAGCTAGAAAGTTGGAACATTGGTATCCCTGAACCCTGAAGCCTACGGCGAGAATAGGAGTATAACTCCTCTCCCTCCAGCTTTATGGCCTCCACAAAAGGGATCCTAAGCCCTACATCTCTGAGCTGGCCGTTTCAAACCTCTGGAAAATGTTCGGTAAAAGATCCTTTAGACATAACCCTAAGGGTCCATGTATCCATATGAGTATACTTTGACACAAAAGTACCCATATAGGGACTACATTAAGGCCTAAGTATATACCATTTGAAAACATGGACCCTTAGGGTAATAAACGTCAATTAATCCCCTCATCATAGCCCTTAACGCCTACACCTTCCTAACCTGTCCTGTCTGATGGCCACATCGTAGTACCTGTAGACATTCTGCTCGGAGAGCAGCTGGTTGCCTTGGCGACAGTCTCGGGTTCAGGGATGGGGGAGACCGATTAGTTCGGCATCAAAACCCTGATAGTCTCTGTATTGCTATATATATATATATATATATATATTATATATATATATATGTGTGTACACAAAAAGCTGAGTCTAACTACCAGGGCCACGACAGTGGGGTTCCGCGTTGCACGTGTTCGGCTGTAGGAATCTCGGGATAGGCGAGGCCTTGTGGACTTGGAGTGCGGCCAACTTGCTGGGATTGACGCTTTTGGACTCGTTTGGCTCTGGTTTTGACGGCTGTACGTGGAACAGGGATGAATCCGAGGCGAAGCGATTTCGGCACCAAAAGGGGGTTTCATGCACTGGTAGTTTAGGGAGCCAGGCAACTTGTGGCTTTCAGCTTTAAAGAAGGGGCCTTAATAATTAGAGCAGGGTTTTCGGACCCATTATACTATACTTATAATAAGGAAGCCCCCCAAATGGTACTGGTATTATTTTAGGCCCCTACATTACTTGCCAGGATCCGGCTTAGGCTTTTACAGCTCTGCAGGTTAAGGGTTTAGGGTGTAGGGTGTATAGGGTTTGCTGGGGCCGCGCCGCTCGACTGTTTAAGTCTGATGCGTCAAGAAGCACAGACATGAAGAAACCTCCGAAAAGCATCCCGAAACACAGCGCCTACACCCTGAACCCTCCTCATTCTAACTGATGGCAATAACGGACTCTCCTACACACTTCTACCCCTCTCCGTTTAAACGCACCGATGCCACGCCAAGAAAAAAAAATAAAGGCTCCAAGCCCTTACTAAAGCCCTCAGCCTAAACTCCGAATTACATCCCCCCCCCCCCAGAAACCCCCTCCCCCCCTTTCTTCTTTCCGGAACAATTTCGCCCAGGAGCCGATCTCCAAGCTGTGGTTGGCCTTGGCCGCAGCATCCTCCAACGAAGGGGCCAGGAAAAATGTGGGAGTTTTTCGGGCTCGGCAGCAGTTCAGGGGGCTTAGACAACATGAACGGTTTAGGCTTTAGGGTTTAGAGGGGTTTAGGGTTTAGGGTTTGGGGGTTTAGGGGTTTAGGGTTTATGGGGCTTAAATTTAAATCAGAAAAAGGAGCGGCTCATGACAGTACCACGATCGATCACGGTCTATCTAGGGGTTCTGATTGGGGATCTAGAAGGGAGTCAATGATTTAGGGCTCTGGGTAGTCAGGGTCTCCAGAGATAGGGCCTGTTACAATAAATCTAAGTAGAGACTGGAAGGCGACAGTACTGCCTTCTTCTACTTGGAGGATCATGGGACTTAGTAAGTAGGGTTATAAGTCCCCCAATTGGGGTTATAAGTACTGTTACCTTAGTTATAATCCTACTTACTAAGTCCCATGATCCTTTCCCTAAACCCCTAAACCCCTAAACCCTAAACCTAAAAACCCTTAACCCTTAAGTAGCCCCTCACGGGCTTACAGTTTATGGATATCGGACTGGGGAACTCTTCTGAATCATGGCCACCTTCGGGTCTGGGCTCGAGATCTCTCGGGTTTCGGGTTGGGTTACTACTCTGAGTTTTTAGGGGTTTAGGGTTTTAGGTTTTAGGTTTTGGGGTTTAGGGTTTAGGGTCTAGGGTTCAGGTTTTGGAGTTTTAAGCTATGGTCCCCTGAAAGGCTCGCTGTGATATGATGCAGGAATATACTCCAGCTTCGAAGACCACTCTGCCAAACCGAGCGCCGCAGGAGAACAAGATCAAAGACGACCCCGATTGAAGGCTTCTGTGGGTTGGGCGTTTAACCCCAAGCGCCTTGAAGAGCGTTAGACGTCGGTGTTTGGTGTGATTTGGTGCTTTGAAGGGCACTGGGTGCTCTGGGTATCAAAATTCGCGCAGTGCCGTGGCGGGAGCACGGTTCCTCAAGTCCCGAAGCGCCAATAAACAGAATATTACAACGTGGATTCGGCGCGACGAATGTGATCGGCGCGGGACTGTGGAAAGAATACGGCTTCACTCGAACACCGCACCCCGCGCATCACACAGCAGTCTAATTTCTTTATCTGGCTACTACACGGCTTGGGGCAAAAAGTGCTGCAAACAACCCTACCCCGCATAGTTCGTCGAATCCGGAAGGCTCCTCCAACTCGGGTAGCCCTCGCCAGGAGCAGAGGGATTCCACCTGCAGAAGGAGAGAGACCTTTACGGGGCTAGGGATCTTAGATAGGGGCCTTTAGGGTGAAGGGTGCATTCAAATTCAAAGATCAAGAGGGGCAGGCCCGTGAGGATGTTTGGGATTTGGGGCTTATGGTGTCAAGGCTTCTGGTGTCCGTATCTTGGAGCTCTACAGGGCTCTGCGGCTGCTGTGCCTGTACACCTCTTTCAAAGGGTTCTCCGTCTCGCACAAAGGATCAATAGGGTCGAGTCTCGGGTTTAGCTAAACAGGATGAGGGACGAGCATGCAGGTGACTTACACATGCGTTCAGGAGAACTCGGTGTGCGACCAGCATGTCTGTTGTCGAATGCAGCAGTGAAGCCCGGATCACGCCTAACCTTGGCGGTCTTAGGAGGTCAGCCAGCTAGGTTTGATTACTGTGCATCATGTACAGCGCTCCATCAGCTAATCAGCTACCTCCAGAAAGGAACGGCTGATCGACAAGGCGTGGGTGCAACTGGGAGGGGTCTCCCGACAACCCTAAACTTCAAACCCTAAACTCCAAACTCTAAATCCCAACCAAAGCCAGCGCGGTGCCTGTGTGCCGTAAGACGAGATCGTCTTGTTCGCGCTAGTCAAGAGGACGGAAGCGTTGTCCAAGTCTTCCAACAAAGTGTTTGTGCCTTCACCTTGAGACAAAAAGCTGCGAGATGATAATCTGTAGCCAGCATAAATGCGCTCAACCCTACCAGTCGCCACAGGGCTCAAGAAGTGAAAGACCTTCGGGAAGCCCAGCCAAGGACGACGGATGACAGACTGAATCCACAGCATAATCAGCTTTATCATCATGACCACCACGACCCACCGCCGTCACAAAGATGATGAACTCCTTTAACATGGTCTTGTGCAGTATCATGAATCATGCCCGTAGTTGTCGTCATCCTTTTGCAATTGCAACCAAGAGGCCCGTGATGTAATACTCACTGAGCTTGTACTCCTCGGACTCCACTCCCGCGAGCCTTCCAATGCAGGTCAGCGCGTTGGTGTCCACATCTTCACCTCTCAGGCGTCGGATGATTTGGGGCAGGCGAGGTTTAGGGTGCAAGAGCTGAAACCTAAGAAAAAATATGGCGGCTCCAAAACCATCAACTGTCACGAGGATCTCGTGCCAAACACACCCGATCCTGGTGACAGCGGACACCTTCCACCCAGGACTCTGCCATGAGGGTATTGAAAATGCAACTGTCACCAGGATCGCGTTCCTGTCAAGCCTTCTTCCTGAGAGGAACATGATGATGATGATGATGAGGATGAGGAGGAGGAGGAGGCAGAGGAGGATGACGAGGAGGATAACGGGGAGGATGACGATGAGGATGACGATGACGATGACGATGGCGATGATGATGATGATGATGATGTTGATGATGATGAGATGATGATGATGATGATGCTGATGATGATGATGATGCTGATGATGATGATGATGATGATGACGTTGATGATGTTGATGATGATGATGATGATGATGACGGTGATGATGATGATGACGGTGATGGTGATGATGTTGATGATGATGATGATGGTGATGGTGATGGTGACGGTGACGGTGTTGATGATGATGGTGATGATGACGATGACCATGATGATGATGATGATGATGATGATGATGATGATGGTGGTGATGGTGATGGTGACGGTGACGGTGATGATGATGATGATGATCATCATCATCATCATCATCATGACGATTTCGAAACACCCAGCGCGACCCAAACAGCGAACCACACCACACCACAGGGGGGCGGAGGGACTGAGAGCAGACCCAAACCCCGAACCCACCACACCGCAGGGGGTGCGGGTCTCCAAGCAGACCCAAATCCCGAACCACGCCACAGCGGGGGGAAGGGGTACCAAACATTCGGGGGCTAAACAGGAGTCTACTCCCCTCAGGCTGCCAGCGCATTGGGGTTGGAGTTCAGCCTTGACACAAGTTCCTATCAAGAGTGCTACAAGGTTAAGACAGTGAAGTACCCTGCACCCTCAACCCTGAACCCGAAACCAAGGAACTGAGACCAGGCTCGAAAACAAACACCGGAACTAGGGCAGAATGTTCCACATCAGCGAAGAAACAACCTTGAATAGAACAGACCCAGTGATGTCCCGTGATATTCCATGCGGTCCCCGTGACAAAGTTCATGAGTTTAAGATGCCCGGCCACAGATATCCGACCCGCTGAGGCTCCCGCAGAAGCTGCTCGCGATGATACCCATTTCCAACCTCCGCTCGCAAACTTAGGCTGTGAGGCTCCCCTAAACCCTAAACCGCTCCCACAGACACGGAATTGCTCGGAAGAGCAGTTTAAGATAGTCCCTTTACAACTATAAGCCCAATATCATGACGGCACTTCTATATGTATGGTAGATGCGAGCAGTAGAAGTGAAAACCCGAGGTAAGCATGTCGAGCAGACCGGTACGGCTCCTGATAAAAGCTCACGTCAATCCGTTAAAGACACACTACGCGCCTGCCCTACCAGAAACTAGAAGTATAGTATATTATATCACGGTATGTATATGATAGCATATGAGAGTATAACCTGTTAGTCTGTTCCTAAACCAAATCATGTGACAAATCTTCCACACAGGCTAGACTCATGAAGCCGCTTGCAGAACACCCGATGCACCAAGGAGTTGTCCAGCCATCAGAAAAGGTATACAAATATGTCGAAAATCTGACATGCCTGGAAAGCATGCAACGAAGGCACAGCTCTGAGCCTCAATCCTAGCAGGACCATCCGTGCAGAACGGCACCGGCAATCTCATGCGAACGCATGTCTGCCATCAGCGGCAACCAAAACCCAAGACTACAAACAGCAGTAACAATGAATTAGGGTTTAGGGTTTAGGGTTTAGGCCATATCAGAGGCGAGCCCGACAAAGTCCCAGCCGCTGGGTAGATGCTGCCAAGGTGATGACGAGCACCGTGGGTGCCAAGAGAACCGGCGCGAGGCTTCCTAAGGTGGCTGTTTGCGATTTTTGCCGCTTTCTGGGCCCCTACAATTCATGTATGAGTAGGCAACGCAGGGCCTTAATTGTTAGAATAGGGATGTGATGACTCCAGTATTGTGATAAGGGACCTTGAGATACCTTGAGGAATAGTATCACTGCTCTTCTGAGTTTCTAGGTTGCCCCTATATCCGACCATAAAAGCATCCAAAGTGCCATCTAGATTTGGGCCTGGAAATTCAGAATCCCAAAAAGGGGTGTCAGCTTTACCGTTCAGGATTTCGGCTTGTCGGGATAAGCGGGTCCAGCATTCAGGCTTCAGGGTATTTCAGGGTCTAAGGTTTAAGCTTTGTGGAAACTGTTTAGCGTTCAGTTCCGGAGTTTTGAGCGGGTTTTGACCAGGTTTCGCCTTTTCCTTTGGTCCTAGCAATGTGTGTAGTACTGTTGTGTATGAGACTTTTGCCAGTGTGGCTCACTTGCTCCTGGCCGTTTTGGCAACTTGTGCAAGTCTGCGTCGCTGGTTAGGAGGGGCAGAGGCGAGGCAAGGCAGCCGAAGCACGTGAAAACATGCCCCTTCTATTTACCCTGGGCTTGAGGGTCAAGGGCTTCGGGTTTTGCGAGTGTGAAGGCTCGTGGATGTGTTGGGGCTGGAAGCACATCCCAAAAAGGCTGCCGAGCAGCGTAGACAGCAACCGGCGCATCTGCCTGGACCCCCAGACCCTAAGCCCCACAAGCCTTAACCCTAAACCCTGAACCCTAAACTCTAACCCTAAATCCTAAACCCTAAACCCTAAATCCTAAACCCTAAATCCCAATCAGATCTCTAGTCCAGGGTCACCTGTGCTTTGAGGTTCAGTCGGCCCGGTTTGCCGGGCAGAGCCCTAAACGCCAAGCCTTATCTAACGGTTACTACAAACAAGGGTTGTGTACAGCTGCGGGGGTTCCATAATGGGTGCTACAGCAAGTGTAACAAGGGCTTTGGGGTTTAGGGTTTAGGTTCTATGGGTTTTTGCAACCCCAATCGCAGTCCGAGCCCTTGCTAGTGTGAGGAAGGCCTTTGAGGCTATACTAAGGTTTAAGCCTTTAGTATCACCCTAAACCCCAAACCCTAAACCCTAAACCCTAAACCCTCAGTACAGGCGGGGAGGGAAAAAAAGCAGACACCGGGGTGGGCCCAGATCTAAAGTGCCGAAGCCTCCATCGCCCGACAATCGAACTCAGCCAAATTCCCAGTGACATGCCAACATCTGACTTTTGCTTATAAGCTCCCATTCATGTTGGGTTTAGGGTTTAGGGTTTAGGGTTTAGTTAGGGTTTGGGGTTTAGGGCTTAGGGTTGAGGGGCTTAGGGTTTAGGGTTTAGGGTTTAGGGGCTTAGGGTTTAGGGTTTAGGGGTCGGGGTTTAGGGCTTAGGGTTTAGGGGTTTAGGGTTCGGGCAGCTCAAGGAGGCCCTGGGCTGTGACTCTTGCAGGGTCTCCCCAGACCCCAGGCAGACTAAACCCCAGCGAGCTTGAACAGGGGGTAATGTAGGGGCCTTCATAATTACCTATAATATGTATATATATATATATATCTATATATATATATTTTTTTTTTGGGGGGGGGGGAGGGGGTCCGTATTATAGTTATGCTAGAGTATACCCAAAATCCTATTCTGATTATTTAAGGCCCCTTTATTAGGGATAATCACGGATGGGATTCCCTTTCGCTTATCTCTGGCGCATGAGAACGACAGTGTTCCAACCCTCGCGCTTCTAGCTTAACCGTATGAGCTGGACATACTCAAAACTACGATGCCAAATTCAGATGATAACAAGGTGCCACTACGTGATCTGCAAAAGCCATGCGAGCCATAATGCTCGGGCCAACTGTGAAGACCCTTAAACTCTGAACACTAAACCCAACGCCAGGCCTGAACAGGACGTCATGACCTGGGGACAAGCAAGCGGCTTCAGAATATAAAAACCATGTAAACACCTGCAAACTAAAAAATGCTGGTTCAGAGGCTTAGGCATCGCTTTTAGGATTCGAGAGGCATCAGGAGCTGGAGGCTTCGGGCTGAACCTTTCCAGATCCTACACCCTAAAACTACTGGGATAGTAAGTGGCTGAGAAATCGAATTTTCAAGAGGACAACCTTAAACCCTAAACCCTAGACCCTAAACTCCTTATTTCGGATATCGATACTGTAACCCACTTCCCAGGTCCGTAAGGACGAAAGTATGTTAAAACCCTACGGTGGGCTCTAGTCCTTGAACACCGGAACATGAAACTGGAAGTTGGGATTACGGCTTGATACCGTTTCTTGAGTGGCATATAGGGCTGTAATGCTTAAACCTTTCGGCTTTGAGGCTTTTGCTTAGGGTGTTAGGTTTGGGTGTTCGGGAGTTCTGGAGCCCGGTCGTTCCGCAGCGGTGACATCAGGATCCCCTACTCCACAAATTCCGCCTCCGCACCGGTAAGACAACTGCGATCCCCATCGATACGCTGAAACCCGATGTGCTGGACCTCAAATTGCCAAAGCTCGAATGGATGAAAGAGCTGCCATGTTAATTAGAGACGCCCCCAGACCTTTGCGCCATAAAATATGAAATGACGCTTCGGAAGCCCTCATCTGCTGCACTCTCATTCTCTTCAGCTGATTCTACAGCTTCATTGTGCAGAAAGATCCCAAACCGTGAACCTTAAACCCCACGGCACCCAAACCCGGAATGAACCGGTACTTGACCTATAGAGCCTACACCCCAAATACTCAAAAAAAACCGTGGACCCTCATAGTAACCCTTAAAGGTAGGTAGAGGGAGTTTAGGGTTTAGGGTTTAGGGGCTTTGGGTTTAGAGTTCAGGGTTTAGGGTTTAGGGTTTAGGGCTTAGGGTTTCGGGTTTAGAGACTAGGGTTTAGGGACGCTTCTCCCTCGGAGCTGAGGCCGCCGCAGCGATCAGAACCTCACGGCAGCGCTCCGATTGGCTAGAAGTGGGGCTAAAGTTTGTTGACTTATAGTGGGTTCAAGATTTAGGGTTTTAGGGTTTAGGGTTTAGGGTTTAGCGTTCAAGATTTAGGGTTTTAGGGTTCCGAAACTTGGGTGTCTGTCGTGCTTGCCGGGTCTGTTTAAGTGGCTCAGCATGCTGCACTGAGAAAACTGAGCATGCTCTGCAAGGGGCACTGTGCTGTTCAATTGCCAGAAGAACGCGGTGTTTGCTTGACTTGCCTAAGTAGGAGCGGAAGCATTCAGAGTTGATTGTTTGGAGGGCTCAGAGCTAGTGGGTATTTCAAGCTGTACAATGCAGGGAAGCTGGCTGTGCTGTCGGGAGCTTTTGTGTCTTTTTGTGTAATATACTTCTACTGGGAACGAAGGGAATACTGTTGCGAATTCTTCTGACCCTTACATTGCGACACTCACAGATGCCAGCGAACAAGAGATGCTAATGCTCGAGGCGTTTTCAACCCTTTGGCTGGCTGTTCTTGACTTAAACCACCAGCCGAAGCCCTGAAACGAAGAAGTCCGATAGTCCCCCAGCTGACATTCCTAAGGAGGAGGAGGAGGAGAAGCAACGGTAGTAGTATGGTAGTAGCAGCAGCAGGAGTAGAAGGTAGTGGTCGTCGTCCGAGGAGCATGAGTAGAAGCAGTATGCATATGTGTGAGAGAGACAGCGAGTGCGTGTGTGTGTGTTCTCTGTGTTCGTTCATGGCCGAGGCAGAATGTAAAAGCATTAAGGGGCAATATGCATGCATGAAGGCCTAAGCCAAATTCCTTCGCCGAGCGGCCACTGTGCAGCTCAAGAGGACGAGCGCCAGAGGCCCCAAGAGCGCAGCCATGGCAATCTTGCCGATCGCGCTGCCACGGTCCTCGGCCGTGGGTTAAGGTTGCACTTCTGGTGAGCTGGGCTGCAAGCAACATGCATGCGTGCACGTATGTATACAGTACGCAGATAGATAGACAGACAGACAGAC